CAGAGAGGAAGGGAGAGGGGATAGAAAGTTAGAAACATCAATGAGAGAGAAACATCAATCAGCTGCCTCCTGCACACCCCCTAATGGGGATGTGCACGCAACCAAGGTACATGCCCTTGACCGGAATCAAACCTGGGACCCTTCAGTCCGAAGCCCAACAGTCTATCCACTGAGCAAACGGGTCAGAGCTCATCATTGATATTTCTCTCTCCCCCTCCCTTCCTCTCTGAAATCAATAAAAATATAAACAAATAAGGAAAGAAAGAAAGAGAGAGAGAAAGAGAGAGAGGAGACTGCTGATTTGTCAAGTTTCTTGACAAACTCCCCACAACTATTTCCAATGCAAAGTGGATAGAGATTTCTTGTATGTCCCCAGCACCCTCTGCTACATTAGAGTTCAACTGAATTTTAAATCTATGTTTGATACTTTTCATGGAGCATCGTCAATAATATATTTAACATATTACATATAGTCCTTACTACAAAGTAAAAAAAATGTCCTGGTAGCAATGTGTCACTGTCAAAACCAATATTAAATCACCAATTTTCAGAAAACCAGGTTAACTAACCTATGCTTTCTTCTCCTTCCTTCTTTTCTGTCAGAAGAGTTCTTGTCATGCTGAGCTTCTTCATCGTATGGCATTTATATTTTAGCACTGTTTTATTGTTGCCTTCTGCATCTACTAGAACATAAAATAAACTCAATTATTATACTATAATACAATAGTACAAATAAAATAATCATGTTAAGCCTCAATAATTCCAATTTAGTGAGTTACACTACTTCCTGTCTAGATAGTGGGATAAGTTCAAGATTTAACTCATCTCTCCTGCTCCAAGCATAGAGAAATGACAGATAAAATACATAACAACTGGACTCAAAACAACAAACAACTCCAGGGGACAGCCACACAGAACTATGAGTGAAATTAGAGTGATGGGCCTGCTAGGTTCCAGCCCTGAAGTAAGAAAGTGAAGCCAGAAACTTGGCTTTACAGGTTAACGAGATCTAAAATTCTACCACACTTGCCCTAGCTGGTTTGGCTCAGTGGATAGAGCATCGGCTGCGGACTGAAGGGTCCCGGGTTCAATTCTAGCCAAGGGCACATTCCCGGGTTGTGGGCTCGATTTCCAGTAGGGGGCATGCAGGAGGCAGCTGATCAATGATTCTCTCTCATCATTGATGTTTCTATCTTTCTATCTCACTTCCTCTGAAATCAATAAAAAAAAATATTAAAAATAAATAAATAAAATTCTACCACACAAAATTACCAATAGTGAGAGAAGGATGAGAAAAGTCATGCTGCCAACCCCACTGTTTGGGGTTACGGCTTTACAGAAAACTGGGCACAGGCAGAAGGGAGGATGAGGATCTGAGCTAAGGATGTGAAACACACTGCAAACTTCCATACACTGCTCCTAGGAGTGTAGCTGACATGTTAGAAAGCAATATAGTAAGTGGAACTACATGAAACTGTCAATTTTTGGCCCAAATAAGTCATTTCATATTGGTGAACCCAACACAGTCATCAATCTATCTCATTTCTAAGTGTATACCGTAAACATTTTTACATATATGCACAGGGAGAGTAAAAATATTCATGGCAGCATTTTTGTAGTGAGTTAATAAGCATAATTAAGAACATAGACTCTGGAGCAGACCATCTGGGTTTAAATCCTGATTCTGCCTCTTTGTATATGACCTTGCAAATGTTATTTATCTCTTTGTGCTTCAGGGTTTTTTTTTTCCAATATAAAATGAAGATAATAATGGGATCTACCTCGTAAACTTGTGAGGATTAAATGAGTTAACACATGTAACGTTTAGAATAGTGCCTGACATATGTAAAGAAGGCATTCAATAAGTTATTACTAACTAGAGGCCCTATGCATGAAATTCATGCAAGGGTAGGCCTTTGCAGCCCCGGCTGCCTTGGCCTTCATGGCCCCTGCTGCCTCTCGGCCCTGCGGCCCCACCCCTCACCCACTGGTCATTCAGGAATGTCGTTCCACCATCCATTCTAATTAGCGTATTAGCTCTTTATTATATAGGACTAGAGGCCTGGTGCATAAAAATTTGTGCACTCAGGGGGGTCCCTCAGCCCGGCCTGTGCCCTCTCACAGTCTGGGACCCCTCGGGGGATGTCCACCTGCTGGCTTAGGCCCACTCCCCGGGGGATTGGGCCTAAGCTGGCAGTCAGACATCCCTCTAGCAGCCCAGGAGCCCTCGGGGGATGTCCACTTGCCAGCGGGGAGCAGGCTGAAGCTGCAGTTGGACATCCTTAGCGCTGCTGAGGAGGCAAGAGAGGCTCCCGCCACCACCACTGTGCTGGCAGCCATCAACCTGGCTTGTGGCTGAGCAGAGCTCCCCCTGTGGGAGTGCACTGACCACTAGGGGGCAGCTCCTGTATTGAGCGTCTGCCCCCTGGTGGTCAGTGTGTGTCATAGTGACCAGTCATTCCCAGTCGTTCTGCTGTTAGGGTCAATTTGCATATTACCCTTTTATTATATAGGATTACTGGTAATAATGGAAGCAACCAACATGTCTGTTAACTGGAGAATAAATTGTGGTATAGTCACAAATGGAATACTAAGAAACAGGAAAACAGAGTTATATGTATCAGTATGTATAAGTCTCAAAACATATCTCTAATTAAAGATTATAGAATGATATGCATAATATGCTATAATTTATATAGTCTAAAAATTTATATAAAATTTATACAAAAAATGCTATTTTTTGTGCATACATACATATGTAATATAAAATCGGGTATAGGAAAGAGAAACACCAACTTAAGGTAAATGATTGTCTGAGGACAGAAGGGAGAGAATAAATTTGGAGAGGGGTATACAAGGGGCTTCAAGAGTATCTGAAATGCTTTCTAACTATCTGGCAAAATGGTAGAATTTGATACAGCTAGACAATGAGTATATAAAATGTTTAATTTTAATATTCACTGTACATACATATGTTTTAAGTATTTCGTAGTAAAAAGAGTCACCACAGTAATCACTTACCATGTTCAACATTTTCTTCAAATATAACACAGGTCCCAAGAGTGTCTGTGGAAAAATTTAAAGATAACTTGTTAAGAAATAACAGAGCTACATTCTCTGAAAAGCATATTTAAAACGGAATTTCATCTATCTGACATCCTCCTACCTTCATACTCTCCAGCAAATACATAGCTGTCCACTTGCAGAATGGGCCTCTCAGTGTCAATTCCCTACATCAGAATACAGGATCATAAAAAATCATTAGAAAAAGCCTCAGAGGTTGGGTAAAATGGGTGAAGGTGGTCAAGATACAAACTTGCAATTATGAAATAATTAAATCCTGGGGATGTAACGTACAG